CTACCCACTGGCTGGACCGGCCAAGCCCTGGCTTCTCCTGGAAGGTAGAAAACTGTCCCCACCGCTTTACCCCTAATCTTCGATCTGGGCGAGAGGTTTTGGAAAAGTTAAGTACTATCCAGATGCCAAGTGGCCATATCCTTGCGGGGCCTAATGCAAGGCCTTTCCTCCCAGCCTCACTTCTGGTCCCTTCTGTTCCAACTAGAACGTCTCAACCAAATCGGGAGCGGCCCCCCAGCCAGCTGTCTCCTCCAGAGGTGGCTTTCCAAAGGATGCTGGCGATGGAGCTGCGGAGCCCTGACCATCTCCAAGCTGGGCGCCCTGACTTCTCTCCCTCCCCAGAGCTGGTGGCTGGACTCTGAACAACTCCCTTCAATAAAGGGGCCAGTCTTCACTGGCGGTGGCTGGTACTTGGCTCTCAGCCTGGGGTGGCAGCTCTGCTAGCAGCTGGGTTCGCTCCCACTTCATCCTGGCTGAAGGCAGTGCTGCGCTTTGAAATGCAGCCAACGAATATCCAGCCGTGATTACCAGGATTCGGGCAGAGCAGCAGTGCTAGCCAAGTGGCCTGGGCTGCTTTGGGGGATCCAGGTGGTGTTACATGTCCATTTCATGCTTTGGGGCTCTTAGTCCCACAAACACCTTTGGCAGAGCCTTGATTAAAAGGAAACCTGCAGACCCTCCTGGTGACCGTCCTTTCCTTTCTAACCCCGCTCCCCAAGACTGATGGCTGGGTGGGTAGAGTGGTGGGTAATCAATCATGGGCAGGCTTGGGAAGAAATGCCACAGATACAACCAGATTTAAAGAAGCATTTAATTAGGATTTCATTAGTATTTAATATTGCTTTTTCAATTCCAAAAAGTTAAATTTTCACTTCTTAGCAGATATTTTTAAAGTACAATATTAAGTTTATACAAAATGAGCAATTAAGCAAACACCATTATTTCACATTCTTCAAAAATACAAATTCATATTTATTCTTTTTTGGGTATGGAGGTTTCTTCCTTTGGAAGTACTGAACCTGTAACGTTTTCATATCGCTCAGTGGAAGTCCGTTGTTCCCATGTTTCACACTTAAATAAATTTGATAGACTTTTACATAATCCAAATAAAACAATTTGAGATTTAAAAAACTGTCACCAAGACCATCACCATCACATTAGTGTGTGTCAAAAAGAAGGCTCTCAGGGCTCTTGCCTCTCCTGGCTAGAAGCTAAGCCAGAGACTGAGCAAAATCCTGTTTCCAGCCGCCTTCCCCAGGCAGTGACTAGTTCACAGGACAAGGAAGAGCCACCTTGAACTCCGACCCCCACCCCACATTCTCCAAAACACAACAAAGGGTATACAGACAATGAGTCAAACAGCCCTTGGGAGGCCTGAACACAGAAGGAAAAGGGCAAGAGAAGCCTCTGACTTGGCACCACTACAAGGAGGACAGGATATTGCAAAAAACACCCCTGGGTTTTGGTGAAAAAAGGTTTTATGAAAAGTTTTCCCATAAGAAAAAGTAGAAACTGCATTGAGCTGAGAAGGTGACATGACATTATCACTCAGATTTTGGCCCGGCAGGCACACCACCAAAAGGGCAGTGTGTGCTTTTAAACCTCACTTCCAGTAAAAAAGCTTGTACTATGTACACGGTGCCATAAAGATCCAGTTTAATTTGCATTTTTCAGTGCAGACTGAGAAGCCCTCTGGCACAGGAGTAATAGTGAGAAATGCCCAGACTGAGCAGCGGCTTCCCCAGAGTGCACGAGGAGAGACGCAGGACCCTCTCCCTCTCCCCCAGAACACAGGAGAGGAGCAGGCTAAACTGACTGACCAATCAGAAATATGCGTAGTCCTTTTGTCCCTCCTCCTGCCCCTCCACAAGTATTAAAGGATGGACAATTTTCAATCTATGTCATAGCAGAACCATTTGCATATTGGATCTAAGAAATTCTTTCTGCTTTGGCTGAAAGGTATTTTTAAACTTCTCTGTTCCATAGCCTGAGACCTGAAGATAAGATGTGGGGAGGTGAAGGAGAAGGAAGAAAGTTGGTAAAGCGGATTATTGATGGTTTTTGTTTGCTGGATCTAATGAAGGCTGGAGGCCTTTTTGTTTAAAGAACCAGTACAGGTGGTACCGGAAGCAATAAGGAAACGGCTCACATGTGCCCCCAACACCTCCCCCAAACATAGTTCTGATTGGTGGTGTTAAGAAAATTGTAAACTCTTGAGCAATATTGTTGCATTTCCACAGATCAATGGTTTCTGACCCTGGAGAAATCTTTTAAGATTAAGGACAATCAACGTGATTACAAATACAAAAGTCCAGAAGGTGCCAGGTTTTTACCTAGGAACAACCTGTTCCTTCATTCAGGGAAAGATGCCAAGGGACCAAGAAGTGATGGAGAAGGGCCTCCACAGTCGGCAGAAGCAGACGGGACCCACAGCAGTTCTGCAGAGAGCCTGAGGGGGCGCCCGGGAGCACACAGGCAAGGCTTGCATAGATTGAAGGTTGCTGAGGATGCATAATAGTGTTTCCCTCTGGACAGCCTCAGCACAGGGCCGCTGGAGCGGAAGGACGGCCAGGCCAGGCCAGGGCCACATGGAACAACGGCCATCAAGCACACATATTGCACCAAGGTAAGTGCTTTTCTTTTCACACCTCAATTTAACTTTTATTCTGAGCAAAAAATAAAACTTTGTGGAAAGTATAAATATATTTATATATATATATATGCATGTATATATACACACAAAAGAAATTGCAGCAATTGAGTTAACGATAAAATAACCTAAAGTGCTTTTTTATTATTTCTTGAATATACCAATATGAGGTTCTGCAAACTTGTCCCTCTGGACACATTCAGCGTTACACAAAGTCTCTCAGGAAAACCCCCACCCTGCATGATCCCCATAAGCCCCCTGCCTTGACCCTGAAAACAGAACACAGCTCTCCAGTCTACCGACTTCCCCAGAGGTGGTGAAGGGAAGTCCCTTGCCGATGACCCAGAGAGGTCTTGATATCTTAAGGCCTCTCCTGAGCATTGTACCATGATCTCCTTCTAAAGGGAGGTGGAATTGAACAAATGACACCACTCCTGACACCAAAATCGTGGTACACCCAGGAGATTGGCCAGACCCTGACAGGAAAGACGGGCCACTTTCCTTCAATGCCCCCGCCCGCCTGCCTGGGAAGGGCCAAATTCACTCAGGTTGGTTTGATGGTGCCAGACAAAACTAAGCCCATGAACTCCGGTCCCTCGTGCTGACGAGCACTCCAAAGGGCAGCACAGCTGGAGATGCTGTGGGAGCCCAAAGTACCAGTCTTTAGGTGACAGTGGTTAAGGTCACGTGGGAAGAAGCGCGTCTGATTTCATTCTGCAGGTTCTCTCTAACCTCACGCTAGGCTCACACAAGGTTTGGGAAACCAGCCACCATGAAGGTCCCTTCTAGCTCCAAGTCAGTCAGAGGCCCTCTTTTCTCTGAGGTCCTTGGCACTAGAGATCAGGCTTACAGGAGGATGGGGGGAGAGAGTGCTAGAGGAAAGGAGGAAGGAAAGACTGCCTACCCTGTGGAATAACCCTGATTTTCACAACCACTCACTAGCATTTTAAGCATATTCCTGATTTTTTAATGGCTGACTGGATCTGAGAATCTCTCTCATAATCTAAACTCACCCCCCCCCAAAGGCAGATGCTTCAACCTCAACTAGAAGATTCTGTCGGCTTAAACACTATTTAAGATGCTTCCTCATCACCCCCAAACCGTGGAGCAGAAAAGTCACTGACCTGGGTAGGATCCAACTTGGACACAGCCCTGGCTAACCAGGAAGAAGCAATATTTAAACCACAGAAGCTTCAAATGTTCTTCCCTGGGATTCTATTTCCCACCACAGCTCCCAGGGAGCCGGAACTCAAGGTGTCCTAGGGTGGGCATGTGGAAAGGTCACTGGCTACCCTCTGAGACAAGCAAACTTTGGGGTCCCACCTGCTGCTCTCTTGGAAGTCGTAAACAGTGAGGACCCTACCTCAGAGCTTCCCGTAGGTGCAAGGTTCAGGCAAGCCAAGATCAACCCCCGCTCAGCAGTGGTTTTCCGAGAGGACAGATCCACTGTGGTAACAGAAGATTTCTCCTACCTTGTCAACGTCTGCTGAGGTCCATGGTCACCAGAACCCACCAGCCTCTTGGGGAGGGGAGTGCAGAAGGTTGAGAGGGGGTCAGCTCTCCTGGCTAGCCTCCCGGGGTGAGAAACAGCTGCTTGTAGTTGAGCCCACTGCTCCCTGACGGTAGCAGCCTCACACCACTGCCCTCTTGTCCAAATCTGTGCCTGAGCATCCTTGTAAAGGCTCCAAGGTCATGATCTGATCTGGAGACTGTCTTGACTGGCCTTGAGTAATGGCTCAGAGAACAAGGGAGTGATCAGTGCAGACCTTTTTACGCCAGGGAGTGGAAATGCAAGGCAGAATTATGGCTGCTTGCTGCCTGACCTCGATGATTTGGAAAAGCAGCCATGTCTGTGGAGAGCTGCTCCTTGGTCAAGACAAGAAAAGGGCTCTTGAGACGCAGAGGCCTAGTCCACCCTGGGCCGTGCCTAACTTCTGGAGCACTCACGACCACGTTCATCTAGCCAGTGGAGAGAGACTTTCCATTGTAGCGCGGATTGTATTTTATAGTTTATTTTAAGAGGCAATGACTTGGAGCCAAAGGCAGACAGATGGATATAATTCTATACGTAAATCAAAAAAAGGTTTTTTTTCTTATAACACGACTTAATGAAACATTCCAAATGAGATAACTTATTGCAACATTTCAGGCTTTTTGGTGGAAGGGGAATTTTTTTGTTTTGTTTTACCCTGAGTAGAAGATCACCATTTTTTGTTTTTTTCTTTAGAAATCACACGACTAAGCTGAGCAAGTCCCGACCTGGTTTGCACTGTACTAGGCTGTATGCAAACTCCAGAGGGGTGGGAGAGAGAAGGGAGGGAGCAAGCAAAGGCCTGGCTAGAATCTGGAACCAGGACACCTGGCCTGCCAATTACATGCCACCCCACACGAGCTCCCTGGAATCCGCACCTTCTCCTGATAAGCAAAATGTAGCCCTGCTGCTCTGCAGGAGAAAATACCGTTAACAGGAAGGCAGACCACTGACCAGCAACTGGCCATAAGCCACACGTTCACTCTAGGACAAAACAGGGGTGTTGCCCAAGGAAAATTCACTGTGATTGGCAAGCCCTGGCAACCCACGGAGGGAAAGGAAGAACCAGGAAGGCAAAGGCTGTGATCATGTTGCTAGAGCCTGATCTGCCCACGTGTCATCCTCGGACAGCATATAATTCTATACGTAAATCAAAAAAAGGTTTTTTTTCTTATAACACGACTTAATGAAACATTCCAAATGAGATAACTTATTGCAACATTTCAGGCTTTTTGGTGGAAGGGGAATTTTTTTGTTTTGTTTTACCCTGAGTAGAAGATCACCATTTTTTGTTTTTTGTTTTTTTCTTTAGAAATCACACGACTAAGCTGAGCAAGTCCCGACCTGGTTTGCACTGTACTAGGCTGTATGCAAACTCCAGAGGGGTGGGAGAGAGAAGGGAGGGAGCAAGCAAAGGCCTGGCTAGAATCTGGAACCAGGACACCTGGCCTGCCAATTACATGCCACCCCACACGAGCTCCCTGGAATCCGCACCTTCTCCTGATAAGCAAAATGTAGCCCTGCTGCTCTGCAGGAGAAAATACCGTTAACAGGAAGGCAGACCACTGACCAGCAACTGGCCATAAGCCACACGTTCACTCTAGGACAAAACAGGGGTGTTGCCCAAGGAAAATTCACTGTGATTGGCAAGCCCTGGCAACCCACGGAGGGAAAGGAAGAACCAGGAAGGCAAAGGCTGTGATCATGTTGCTAGAGCCTGATCTGCCCACGTGTCATCCTCGGACAGCAGTCCACAACTTGCCTGGGGCCCCTGCCTGTGGGCCAGGCCTCAAGCTGCCCGTTTGCGCTGAAGGGGGCTGCCACGACTCTGCATTACCCACTGAGCTCCACCGACAGCAAGCGCACACAGCAGAGGCATCTCCCTGCACCCTGCCCAACTACAGCTCTGCCGGGCCTCGGCACTGCCCTCTCTGATGGAGCGAGGGTCTGGCCTTCCCAGCAAGCGTCAGCCTCAGAATCAAAAGACACACAGGGAGGAGCAACACCCAGCACACTGAACTCTCCTGCCGATTCACAAAGACCCCAGTGCAAGTGGTGGGCAGTATCAGATTGATGGAAACCACGCCCTTTCATTTAGAATTTTTATGCATACAAGTAACCTTAATTTCCAAGTTCACATGACAATAAGCAAAAGTGACATACAGTGCAGCCAAACAGTTCATTTATAACTTAGCTTTTTTTTTGTTGATTTTTTTTTTCCCAAAGATCAGTTCCTTAAAATGGATGCTCCTGGGCTGTGAATAAAGAAAATACGTCTGAAAGGTGAGGGTTTCAAACAGTAGATTTCTTCATCCTTCCAACTTCTGACCCCAGGACGGCAGGCATCACACCTGTGCTCCGCTCACCCCCCCTTCCCTGCAGGTGAGCACACAGCCTCTCACTTGGAGAAGCTGCTGGTCAGGCCCATCTCCTCCTCCCCCTGCAGTAGTGCTTCAATGGGAATCAGATTGGACGGGGTGTCCAGGCTCTGGAGGGACAGAAACTGTGACACATCCATGGCACTTAGTGTTTCTGTCGGAGGGTCTGAAGGAGTCTCTGCTTGTCTGTTTTGTTCACAGGAAGAGGGTATGGTGGAGGACGACGAGAGGGGGACAGGAGGTGAGGACAAAGTCTGTGGTGGCAGCTGCAGACCAGGCCCATCAGGAGGCTGGGGGCTTGGCTCTGGGGGAGGTGGGGAAGAACAGCCCTTTCTCCTGCCAGAGGCCCGATCCTTCGCAGAGTCCCGGCACGCACACTGGCACTGACAGGCCTCCTCCTGTTTGATGATGATCACGGGAACACTGAGGCCAATCTGCTGTACAGAGCTCCCTGCGAGAGAGGCAAGAGAGGGCACTCCTCAAGCAGCCGCTGGGCAGGGGCAGGAGGGGCAAGGGGTGTCGAGCAGGGGAGGGCTGGGTGTCACCAAGGTGGAACAGTGGGGGTGGTGGTGGATGCCACGACCCAGGCTGTGCTCTGCTTTAAGCTGGACCACATTCCTTCTCAGGCAAAAAGCCAACACTCCCTCCCCTCAGAACTAGGGCCCCCTTCCTTAGAAACCCACGTGCCCTGTATTCCCAGCTTCGTTTCTGGCCGTTCTCCACACCGCACTCCATGTCAGCCACAAGCAGGCACCTCCCTTCTCCTGACGGGTCCTTTAGACACCCGGGCCTGTGGGTGCTTCCCCTTTTCTAACCCACCTGGACACCCTGGACCTGGAGCACGTAGGCTCATCTTTCGGGACCAGCTCACCCATCCCCGCAGTCCCTAGGTGCTTCCCCGAGGCCTGTGTGGAAGCTCCCCTGGCCCGGGGCACCTGCACGGGCCTCCTGGTGTGCTTGCACACCACAGCCCTCTCCCATCCACACCTCTCCCTGTGCCACCCAGGATTTGCTCACTTCTGCCTGCCTGGGATGCTCTGAACTCTCTTCGGACATCTTACTCGTTTGTGCGGCCCAGAGTCTGGCACACAGTAGGTGACAGCTCCCTCCCTCAGCCGGCGCGGGTAGCCGCCCACTCCTCAGGTGCACGCGTGTTGTGTGCACACGTGCCCTGACGTCAGCCAGGCGCTGCAAGTATCAAAAGAGCTAAAGACCAATGAGCTGGAGAACAGGGTGGACCTGGGGGGCCTGAGAACCACGCTTCGGCTATGCCACACGGTCGCTTACCACCTGAGGGAGCCATTTAATCTTTCTGGGTCCCAGTTTCCTAATCTAGAAAAGACAGAGCTTGAATAAAAGGACCTTTCAGCTCTATATGAGTCTGACCCAGATGCTATTTCTTCGTTACTGTAATTAGAAAAGAGCCCAGCAGATTAACAACTGCCTTGTTTAGCATTAACTGTGATTTGAACATTTTTTTTCTGGCGTCGTTAAAAGCTGTATCTGGGGGCCGGCAGGTAGCATAGTGGTTACAGGTGCTAGACTCCCATATGGCCGACCACGGTTCGAGTCCTGGACCTGACGGCTTGCTCTCACTTTCTCTCTCTCTGTCCCTCTCTGGTCAAATCAAAATAAATAAATAAATAAACTAATTCTTTAAAAAAACAGCTGTATCTGGAAGGGAAAGAACCACTACTAGCTAAAACATGGTAAGCCTGCTATTCCCCTCGAAAGCTTACTAGCTGCCAATAGCTGGGAGACTGAACTACTCTGGCGGATCTAACTGAAGCTGTTTAAAGATGTTAACGTTTAACAACAGGGCAAAGCAATAATGAACCATGCCTCCAGGGCCGAGACAGCTAAGGTTCTCTGAGGGCTACCGCAGGAGTACGTACCTGTGCTGCTGGCTACTGGTACTGCAGTGGTAAAAAACACCTTCTCGACTTTAGATGCTTGCTGCTGGGGGAAAAAAATCACATTTATGACCACTGTGATATGGCAGCTCTCCAAGGACCTGAAGCCTCCCCGGCTGTAACAGCCTTCCGGGAAGACAAAAAGCCCTCAGTGTTCAGGGCTTTTGCGCTGAGCAATCTTCTGTTTGTGCTGACATGAGGTCACTGGACTGTGCGACATGCAGCTCTGACATGCAGCCAGCTGTGAGCCACCGCCTAATCCAGAGTGTGCCCAGCCTCCTCCAAGCTGCTTTTCTCAAGCTGATGGTCTTCTCAGAGGGAGCCCCTGGACCAGCTACTTCCAGACTCTCCCATCTCCTCCTCTGCCCCAATACTTCTCCAAAGGTAGAAAGTTCTTTTGCCCCCTCAGGAATTATGCTCCATGCTAAAGAGAGGCTAAGGCTGTCTCTAGCTGGCGGGCAGCCCCCATGGAGGCCCTGGCAGTGTGCTCTAGGCTGGGCAGAAGGGTGGGCCTGGACTTGGCCACACCTGGAATCAAGTACGAACTCTGCCACTTAATAGCTATTGGCCTCAGGCAAGTGATTTGTTTCTTGAAAGCTGAGTTTCCTCAACTGTAACAATGGGGACAATGGCCAAAGGCTGCCAAAGGACTCCGAGGTGAGGTGAGATGATGCGTGGAGAGCACTGGCACTTGGTGAACCGTAGTAAACAGTAGCCATTTCTGTTTCTCCTAAGTGAGACTGCACAGTCGCACCCAGAAAACCACCCTTATCACTCAGATACACTTCCTGGTAAGTTGGCTAAAGGGGCTTTGCTTTTGGCAAGTCTTATCTTAAAGGGACTTTGTCTTTTTATCCCTGTAAGGAAAAACCAAAGTCTCTAAAATGAGCCTGGGAGGACCGTAAAAGCTGCTAAGTTACAGAAGATGACACTAAAACAATGGTGGGGAGGGCTGGCTCTGTGGCACAATGGAACGGCCTGCTCCGGAGAAGCCGGACCACATGGCAACTGGCTCACATCCCTGACCCAGTCAGCCTGAATCACACATGAGTGCCTCAGTCTGACAGGCCCAAGGACTGAAGGAAAGGACTGTGGTATGATGAGACCCTCTGGAAGGTGCTCAATCCTCTTAATGTGAATGCACGTGCTCTAGCGTGAATAAAGAAGAAATAAATTGTTAAATGGTAGAGACATGAGAGCCATATTTAAATATGTGCAATTGAATGAAGTAGAAAAGGAGTGGCACTAGTTTCATGCAGCAACTCAGGGCAGGTCCACAGAAAACGACAAAAGCTGCTGAGAGGCAAGGAGAGCCGAAGCCCTTTCAGATGACTCCGGCCATCTGAACATGGGGGCAGGCTGCCTCCAGAGGTGGCTGGCACTCATTTCTGAAACCTGAGTGCTCTCATGTTTAGCCCTGAACTGCCTTTCCCATTTGTCTGACAGTGGCATTTACCCCTGGGCAGAATCTCCGACCTAGTACACCTTTTCTCCATCCAGTTCCTACCCACGCCTATCCCACACTGGGCCCGTGAGACCACCCAACAAAGCCCTGCTCTGGCAGCGCCATGTGGCACCCACAGCACAGGCTCTGCGGCCAGTCTGCCCCTGTTCAAATTCTGGCTTTGCCACTCGTGAGCTAAGTGACCTTTGGTTGGTCACTTAACCTTTCTGGACCTCAGCTCTCCATTGGTAAAATTATACCTGCCTCTCAGAATTGCTGTGATGTGTTAGAAAGTGCTAGGTTAACACATATGTGACGTATTAAGTACAGACGTTGAAGGGATCAGTGGTTGCTAGAGGGGAGAGGGAGAAGGGGTGAGCATGTGAAGCACAGGGAATACTTAGGAGGTGAATCTGTCCTGGATATGGTAATGGTGGGTATGTGACATTATGCATTTATCAAAACCAATACAAAATAATGAGCCCTAATAAAAACTATGGATTTAGTTACAAATGACGTATCAACACTGGTTCATAAACTGTAACAAATACATTTCACTGAGAAGATGCTAATGATAGGGGGAACTGGTGGAAGCAGGGAGGGTGTATGGGACTGCTCCACACTGTCTGTTCCATAAAATCTTGTAAAAAACTAACCTACAAATAATGTACACACGATGGCTGACCGCTGTTAGATCTTTCATTTTAAAGCTTAAGCTACCGGATAGTCCTTGCGCATAGTAGGGCTCGACGGAGGACAGCTGGTGCTATTCTCTGGCCGTCACTGTCATCAGAACTTACTGCTCTTCATGTTAACTTTTAGGAGGTTTTGGCCTCTTTAACGAGAATGTAAGTTTTTACAGTAAAGAGATCCTGTTTTACTCTTCGATGGCCTCCAGAAGATACAGCGTGGGCACGGCGGTTACCAGCTCTCCGGGTGGGTGTTAACCGAATGGCTGGCCATGTCATTTCTGCTGTCCTTGAAACTGAGCACTGTCTTAGGGAATGGTTCCATATGGGGCTCTGGGAGCGCAGCGTGTCTCACACTGGGCCTCTGCTCTCTGTCCCATGTGACTGGGTCGCATCAGTCCCTCTCCTCAGACTGGCTCTGCTTTAGACTCTCTGAAGTATTTGAGGGCCTCTGGACCTTACTGACTACTCTCCGGTACTAGAAGTTGTGAAACTGTGGTTAGCTTGGATTGAACATCCCCAATCTAGAAATTCAAAACTTAAGATGCTCCAAAATCCAAAATCTCTTCAGTGCTGACATAATGCCACAAGTGGGACATTCTACACCTGCCCACAGGTGACACACTGTGATCAGAATGTTGCAATACAAAAATATTGTATACAATCACCTTCGGGTTATGTGTACAAGATGTATATAAAAAACATTCCAAAATCCAGAGAAAAATATCTGAAACACTTCTGTGGGTAGGGGGTGCCCAACCGCATTGTGGGTAGGGGTGCCCAACCGCTAGTAGGAGTACTTGTTCAAGTGCCTCCTGCTGGTCAACCTAAAGGCCGCCTGTCCACCCCCTTGTTACAACACTAACCACAGTGCTCCTGGTTAACACCACTCAGTGACGGGGAAATGACTAAGAGGTGGAACTACATG